GGTCAAATGTTGACCTAGGACCAAAAAATATACCACCAATCGCGAGATCTCGTTGAGAGCAATCCGTTGGTTTTTTCCGCTAAGCTCTACGACCTTCCGTTTCGAAACGCCAGGGGGGTCGTAACAACCCCCCCCCCCTGGTCGTTCGTGTTATGAGAAATGGCCTGGTCGTGCGAGGGTTAAAGAACGTATTGTCGAAAGAAATTTGGTACCCACATGCCAATCGCTTGCAACCTTTTTGTCGCGTGTGATATTAACCCGATACCAAGTTTCGCAGCACTGCGCGTCGCCGCTTTCCGTACATACGCAAAAAAAGCTGGTGGCGTGGTAACCACCCCCCCCCCCCCCCTCCTGAGCGATCGCTAAGGATTTTTTTATATCGTCACCGTACATACGGCGCCCTCCTAACCTTTGCTCCCCCCTTCCTTCGCGATATTCTAAACACGCCGCTGACTACAATTTTGAATTTTGTTTTCGTTGAATTGGCTGGCGGAAAAATTATGCTTGTAGAGCAGATTATGCTAGTTGGTTTACTTCGGTGATACACGTTTACCCCTCCGTTCGTTCACTCACCAGATCTAGGAGGCCCCTATACACAAAAGGCCCCTTTTCGCCAGGAGGCCCCCACGATATCTTGCCCACCCTTTCAGAAATGCAATCCGCCGGCACTGAGCGACAACAGCGCATGCAGGGATGCTGCGCCGCTTAGCCTGAATGTTTGCATAGTTCCTCGATAGATGGCGCTAGCTGTAACGCCTGAAGTTATGTTGTACCGCATAGCTCCAAGCTCACGCTTCCCCAGGCAGCAAGAGGAAACGGAGACTGATACGCAGCATTGCTTGTCGCCAGCGGCTGAAAACGCAGCCGTTACACATAAATGCTTCATCGACATTCGTATTTCTATGTCCAGGGCCTCGTTTCATAAAGCGAGTCCGTAACTTACGCCGGTTTTTGGTCTGGTATTGCAAGGTTTGAATCGTTGAATTTATTTATCTTGCAAGCAAGAACAGAAGGGAGAAGGGGAAATGAATTTATCGCTTCACATGCGCTTGCAATACATGCCCAAAAACCGGCGTAAGTTACGGACTCGCTTTATGAAGCGAGGCCCAGATGACTAATAGTCTCCGTAATAGTATCAAATCCGCTTATGTAGATTCATCGGTCACCTGGGGAACATTCATTCTGGCCAGGGTTCATAATGTCCAGGGTACGATATGCCCAGTGTCGAAATGGCCAGTGCCTTGAATAGGCCAGAGTTCATAATGTCCAGGGATTGCATGGTCCAAATGCGGCCAACTGGCTGCAGATAGGGTATATTCAAAGAGGCCAGGGTTCATAATGTCCAGGGCACGATGTGTCCAGTGTTCGAAATGGCCAGGGTTCATAATGTCCAGGGAACGATGTGTCCAGTGTTCGAAATGGCCAGGGTTCATAATGTCCAGGGAACGATGTGTCCAGTGTTCAAAATGGCCAGTGCCTTGAATGGGCCAGAGTTCATAATGTCCAGGGCTTACATAGTCATTGAAAGTGACGTCATTATGTAAAAACACGGAACCAGCTCAATGCGAAGCAGTGCAGTGCCGAAGGCAATGCCTTAGGAGAGATTACAGGCAATAGTAAATCAAATATTTTTAGGTTAAGTGGTTATGTATCTGGCTTCAGGCCGAAGGCCTGAAGCCTGATGCATAACCACTTAACCTAAAAATATTTGATTTACTATTGCTTGCAATCTATTCATGCGAGAAACTATTTCCTTATCCCCGGTAGGCAAACATCATTACCTTAGGTTAGGTTAGGTTAGGTTAGGTTAGGTTAGGTTAGGTTAGGTTAGGTTAGGTTAGGTTTGGTTTGGTTTGGTTGACTGTGTAATCCCTGGACACTATGAACTCTGGCCAATTCAAGGCACTGGCCATTTTGAACACTGGACACATCGTGCCCTGGACATTATGAACCCTGGCCATTTCGAACACTGGACACATCGTGCCCTGGACATTATGAACCCTGGCCATTTCGAGCACTGGACACATCGTTCCCTGGACATTATGAACCCTGGCCTCTTTGAATTTACCCTATCTGCAGCCAGTTGGCCACATTTGGACCATGCAAACCCTGGACAATATGAACACTGGCCAATTCAAGGCACTGGCCATTTCGAGCACTGGACACATCGTACCCTGGACATTATGAACCCTGGCCTAAATAATACGCACCCGGTCACCTACGGATTTCCACGGCCACGGAAGTGAAACATGTGATCCTCAGCCCGAAATTCAACAGGAGTGGACTGCAGATGCGCTTCGCTAGTCGCCCCCCAATCCCCGTACTCGTTCTATCTTAGCCCATTTACGCCCTTCGTTGCGTTTTCGCAACGCAAGCAAGCGTCGACGTGATCGAAGCTTGAGAAGTGTGTAAAAGAGACTTACCGATGAGACAAGTTTCAGCGTGTGTAGCATGGTTGTGCGCATGATACTACGCAGTTACAAGTCTGTGCGGCCGGTAAGTTACTGCCTAGAGCTCCCAGAGGGAAGTCGAAGGTTTTGTGAGTGATGACGTCACGAAAACCAAGATAAGTAGGCTAAGTGCTTAATAATATCGTAATGAAAATTGTGTAAACATATTCTGCAGAGTCCCTACAATAGCGTAGATATGCATTTTGTTAAGAAATATTGCTACAAAAAGGGTTTGTGACTATTTTCAAATATGACTACGGTCGCGTTGCGGGAACGCAACGAAGGGCACATCGGAAAGACAGCGGTGTTGCGAAAACGCAACGATGGGCACATTGGCAGGGTAGCGAAAGTATGAATATCAACAGTAGACTTCACTCGTGATACGCTGTGGGTTCTCTCTTTCTCTCCCCCATCTTCCTCCCTCTCCTCCTCGTTCCCCAACTCTCTCCCCCCTCTCTCTCTCTCTTTCTCTCTCTCTCTTTCTTTCTTTCTCTCTCTCTCTCTCTCTCTCTCTCTCTCTCTCTCTCTCTCTCTCTCTCTCTCTCTCTCTCTCTCTCTCTCTCTCTCTCTCTCTCTCTCTTTCTTTCTCTCTCTCTCATTTTGTAGCCATGAGGCTGTAGCGGCGGAACATCTTCAATTAAGGGGGGGGGAGCACTGCTGACTTTTGGTCTTATTCTTTCCATTTCCATTTCCATGCAACGCCTATCGGGATAATGTTAAAATGGCAAAATCAAGGGGGGCACGGTGCCCCGGTGCCCCCTCCCCCCGCTCCGCCGCCTATGCCATGAGGGACGTATATAGGTATGTTTAGTGCAAGGTGCGTTCGCACGTAAAATGTTGCGACACATTTCATATTTGCTGGCTCAAACAGCCACAAACACTCCTTTCTTTTTCTCTCGCAGATTTTCGGCCTCGGGCTGTTCGTTCACTAAGCAATGTGTTCCCATGCATCTGAAAATCGCATGGTAGGAAAAGGACCCATGCACAAACGGTCGACGATGCTAACGGAGCTGAGAGATAATTAGATCCTTTGGAAATTGGATCTACTATGTACATTGTGCATACATAATGAATAACGGGGATGTATTCTGGTATCAGGCGACAGATAGGCATCGCCATTCTCTGGATAGATCTGCTGACTACCAGCATTTACGTTAGAAAAGATAACTGAGGGTCGGCAAATAGTGGGATAGGCCCCCTCTGAGGGTAGCTGAGCCCTTCGGCAGGGGTAATGAGGGCAGACCCATGGGAAAATAATAATTTTTAGGATTCATAACTCGTATAGATTCATAAGCTGCTTGATGTGGAGTATACGCCTGTTTTCTTACTTTGATAGGCTTTTTATCTAATCAGACCATTTTTAGAGCTAGCAGGATTAGGGGAGACATTTGTCTGACCGGACACGGTCAATCGTAGACTGGAGACTGAGCCCAGCCAGTGGGCAGCCGCCACCCATGACCCACCCCCTTCCCCCCTCCCAAGCACTCACTGCACCCGGCTACAGGCGCGCTCCTATGTGAGCTGCCCGATTGCGATATACGTTGCCGGTCCAGCCCGGAACAGGGGGATGAGGCGTGGAGGAGGATTCAACTATCCTGAAGATGGAAAGGACGGATTGACGTCGAATCACCATTCTGTCCTGGCATTGTCTCGAGAAAGAGGTTACACGTGAAGGTCGCTGAGAGTGGGGCCATAAAAATTTTGGATTAGGTGTAAACATGATAAACTGGGAGTCGATTTGTTGTGATGCGCTACGCCTTACGCGGGTAATTTGTTAGAGCCGGATCGGTCCTTTTTTCTTTTTGCTGAGAGTGGGTACGACTAACCTGCAATGGAATTTAACTTTACTCCTAAGAGGGTGGTTAAAAATGATTGCGGATATACGCGCATACGAGAGGCACTGGTTTACTCCCAATCCTCCGTTTAATTGTATTCAGTGTGCACTGTGCAGGGTCTGATAGGTGGAGGTAATGGATCTGTCTAGCTTCCAAAAAGAAAGCGTCACCCTGGATACGTGTCGACCACAACTTTAAATGAACAGCAATGGACAACGTAAATGGTTGATAATGACCGTGTTGCCATCTCCCCGTTCGCGAATCATAAAGTTATGCTTCCTCACTGAGGCTCTTAGGCGGGTTATAGAGCATGACGGATGTGGGTTCCGCATTTTCAAGCAATAGTTGTCAACAGTTGATTGATGTTTTGTCAAAACATATCAGCATATACGGCAGTTCAGTGTACTTTATGTCCGTCTGATGTGCCCGTCGTTGCGTTTTCGCAACGCTGATGGCGCCCGGTGTGCCCTTCGTTGCGATTTCGCAACGCATGTTTTTTACGTTTTTCTCGAGAAACTTTTGCTGCAGGCAAAAATTATTTTCGATTCCATACAAGGCCCTGGTAGGAGCATAACATATTTTGATTTCGTCGATTTTCATGATGGTCAATATTCCTGGGCATAAATGGGTTAGTGCAACATTTCTGAGGATTGCTACCTCCATCTGCCATTGCCAAATTCGTTCAGCCAGGCGACTACATGATAGCAGATACTGGTTTTCGGTATGATGTGTGTATTCAGTGTCATCGCTGACTAGCACGTCAACAAAGTATGTAGATTAATACAGCCTGCGACATATTTCTGGTGGGTATCGGCACCTATCCGAGTACAAAATCAACACGCTGTCAAATCACATATCACCAACACTTTGGGAACTACGATATGAAACAAGTCAGCTATGAATGCGCATCCCAACGAGACCATGGCTGCATGTAAATTAAAAAAAATCTCAAACAACGATTGGGTGTTTACTTTCATAAAAGATACGCAAACCATGATGTTTTGGTGTCAAGCGTAGGACGAGCTTTCAATATCTTCAGCAATCATATCCAAAAAACACATGACTAACGATACAAAAGATACAAACGAATCGCTGGTAAAAATCGGTATAAATCATCGGGAACTGTAACTAGTTCTTTGGTAGCCTATAACTATTATAGGCTACCAAATCAGTCAGCGCGTAAAGCTTATTATGCTTACGCACAGATCGACAACGGAAACACACAGCCGCATGACTGGCGATCTACAAACAGAGGCCTCTTGCACCAAAATCCTCTTGCACCAATGCTTGGATTATTTTGCATCGTATACCCAGTCCAAGTCTCAAATGTAACAATTTGCGTGCAAAATTTAGCAAGCACATGTAGGATTATGTATTGGGCTATAGCAAACAAATTTACCACCGTTAGATTAGCTTATTCTGAAACCGGTTTTTTTGATTTTACCTAGCTAGGTAGTTTGGTGCAAGAGGCCTCAGCTGTAATACGACGTCCCTATGGGATACCGAGGTCGCAACGTGGTGGTCCTAAATTACACGAACAATCAATCATGGAACCCTGTTCACTCGGCATTGTGAGCAACGGTACCGGCTTCACAGCGAATGAGTCTGAGGTTAACAGCAGCACAAACCAACCCAAACCGAATGAGCGCGTTGTATATAATCAGCTGGTACTTACATACTGGGACAATAACGCCAATGCCTAAGACCTGTTGGGAGCATCAGTGAAACTGATGCCGATACTGACCTACAAGAATACCTTGTCACTGGGCATACAATAATTATCCGTTGTAAATACTTTAGAAGATCTGTGTAAATATTTCTGAATACGGCATTCGATGCAAAGGCATGTGTGAATCATAAGGCATCTCAAGCGCAACAACTAGCTCCTATCCATTTTCTGTCCTAGCCCTTTCAATGACATGAGTGACCCTATACAATGCAGAGACTATAAACCCTGATAAATCGGTGGTCATCGGACAGGCAGGTACCTAACGTCGGCGTCATTTACCGGGGTTACATGAGCAAGTAAATGCGTATCAGGAACGGATTTTCCTATTCGCTCACCATTGTAGTCCGTTTGTAATGCGTATTAACTCTGCTCATGTAACCCCGAGCATTGTTAGCTGGTACAAACACGCGCAGACAATCACACAAACACACAGCGCACATACAAAGCACGTTTGGCATGTCGGTAATCCACTACAGGGTCAACATTAGACTACTTCCGGGCGCCGCGCGGATACTCAATCCCCTTCCCCTTCAGAGACGTAGAATAGTCTCCACATCCTAACGGGACATTGAGGGTACCAACCAGGCAGGACTTCTTAGAGCTCTGTTTACAGCGCCGGTTGGACAACAAAATAGGGAACCGATCAGTCAATGCCGGCTTCGGGACCGCAGCTTTCAATGGTACAGCATCGGATCAGCACTCACAACCTGTCAGCCCCTCCCCAGCACGGAATCTCTACAAATCTGACTGAATGATACCAAAACGTTCCAACATACGGCGAGTGTGTTTGTATGTGTGTTAACATTGGACCCTTGACAACACCAGTGGGCGGCAGTCCCTGCCTAAGGTGTCCCCCACAGAACTGGTCCCAGTTTGCCCCTGTATTTCCCACCCGTGATATCCCGCCCCGTCTCATTTATACAACCGGCGCAGGTCCTCCCGGTAGAAGTCGGCCAGCTCCTTCCGTTTCAGTTTGAAGGCGGCCGTGACGAGGTTGTTGTCGGGCGACCACGTGATACTGGTGAGGCCCACACGGAACGGGATCTCGAACTTGTCCAGTCGACCTGTCGGCCGGGTAGTGGGGATGGTTAGAGTTAGCAGACAGCCAACAGCAGAAATGACAATAAGACAGGACTACCGGAACACGACCTGAGCCAACATGACCGAACGGCGAGCGTCATCTGTTAACAAGTCCCTCGCCTACTGCGCTATCAATCCACACGGGCGCCTGGCGTCTCTCCTCTGTTTCCCACTCCAGAACTGTCAGTGCCAATCCTCTCCTCTACCTCCCCGCTTCCTTCTCAGCCTCTCTCCCACTATCCGTTTCCCAACATTCCTCCCACAGTAACTACTGTCAGTCCTCCTCTCCCCTCCCCTTCTCTCCTCTGCTCCTCTCTTCATTTCCCACACTACACCTCCCCCATCTCCCCGTTCCACTGACCTGCCCTGCCGTGCTCCGCCAGCACCCTCTGCACATGTCCCTCCAGCTCCTCGTTAGCACAGAGGTCGTCCAGGTCGGCCTCGGCCAGCGCCGGGCCCACGCTGGTGCGCGCCAGCTGTCGCAGAGGCGCCAGGTTCGGGAGCACAACGGCCACCACGTTGTTGCGAGACGACTCGGCGTACACGAACAGGTTGTCGACGAGCGGCGAGGTCTTCAGCACCGTCTCCACCCGGCCTAGGGAGATGTACTCGCCCGACTGCAGCTTCACCAGGTCCTTCTTGCGGTCTGTGATCGGCGGGAGAAATAAAAGGGATGGTTAAGCCAGGGGTTAAGGCCCAGGGTCAAGGGTATGGTAAGTCAGATGGATGCGATTGGCGTGGCTGCTCAAATGTAGCTGGATACTTGCAGTTCTCACTCTTGTCTAAATTTATTATTATTTACCCTAATAATATCAAGCCGCATCTAAATTACATACCTAAATGACGATAAGTGTGGTACATAACTTGCAATGTTCTGCCCTTTCATTTTATGCAGCCGGCAGTCATCAGGAAGTTCACGATATTATAAGACACTCTGACCGTGTGACACTCCCGACATTAACACTCAGTACCCACACACCCGTCCCGTGCCCGGCGTCCGACACTGACCGACAATGCGCAGGTTTCCGTTGGCACACATCTCGCCTATGTCTCCCGTGCGGAACCAGCGGAAGCCATACTCCTCGAAGAAGCTCTCTGCCGTCTTCTCCGGCAGCTTGTAGTACCCACGCGCCACGTTCTCGCCACCTGAGGACGTGAAGAAAGGAGTGTAAAAACCTCAACGTACGCGATAAGCCACTGACCGCACCTGATCGCAAAGACGGCGTGGGTTGAAGGCCCCAAGCGTGGGTTGAACACGCACCTACGCAAAAACGACGACAATGCATTGGCGACGCAGATTCAGACAGCAAATGACCGATTAAACTACTGAGACGCAGCTGGTGCCTCTTCAGAGTCGGGATAAAAACGCGGCGCTGCACTGCAAGCAACTGGTCAACAACTCAACACAAGAGGACTCTAGCTTTTATTCACTGATTATCATTTTTGCAGAGGCACTTCAGCTGCCAGGCTTTAAGGATAAAGAAAAACATTTAGATGGGAAAATAATATAACGTATCTAAAAACAATACAAAAAGTCTGACATTTTACAACAAAAGGATGCCTGGCGGCTAGCGGAGCACCTGGTCTCACAAAATACAAGGCGTGGCAAACAAAGCTTTTCTGGAGGATAATACCGCCTTCAAGATGTCACCAAGGTGACTCGAAAAAGCTGTAAGCCAAAGCCAATGGCAGTTAACTGACTTTGGTTTGCAATGAACCAGCTCATCGATTGCAGTCTCCAAGTGATGGGGTAGCAGTCCATGGAAATAACCGCTATCGCCGATATCGTTGTATAGATTACCGTCATTTAAGTGATATCCATTTCCGGCCCTTTCTCCCGCCATATTGCGCTTAGCTGTAGACATTGCAGGTTGTTGTGTGTATTGAATTGAAAATTTTAGCAATATGTTCTTTATTCATGTGTAGATTGTACGCACGTTTCATTCTCAGCCGATTCGTCCACTGGTGCGACGAATGAAGCCATGAAACAGAAGCTGGGCAAAGCCCCACTCACCGATGACAATCTCTCCGCGCGGCCGGGGCTGGTCCGTAGTGCGGTAGCTGCCCTCCTCCCAGTCCACCAGACGAATATAACAGCCCAGCAGCGGCGGGCCAACGCTACCCACCGACACGTCGTCGCCTGGGGAGGCCAGAGGGCGGGCAAGAGGTCAGCGAAACTGTATCGTCTTCTGAGGTCAAGGTCAAGTGAGGTGAGGTGAAGGTCAAGCCGGGTGGTCATTGATGGACCAGCCTATCATCGGTTATGTGGTGACGATGCGTTCTTGGTTATACGCAGGCTAGGGATAAATTAAAGAAGTAGCTAATCGTTTAATCATCACATGCGAGTTCTAAAATCAAACAAAACCCATCGAAACGGGCGACGCTCGTTTATATCCTGGCCACACCAGTACTAGCTGTCAAGCACAATCAAACCCTTCTTATCCCGACTACCTAGCTTCATTCACAGGACCACCAATACAATCCCACCTCCTCCTACCTGCAATCTCCCTCCCCCCCCCCACTCCTCCCCGCTCCGTACCGTCCATAAGAGTAGCACTGGCGTTGGTCTCCGTCAGGCCGTAGCCCTGCTGAATGGTGGCACCCATACAGCTCCGCACCATGTCGTGGGTATGAGGCGAAAGAGGGGCGCCTCCGCTAGCCATCGCGCGGACACGACCTCCCAGCAGCGCGGCGATCTTACTGAAAAACAGGCTGCGGGGTGGGGAGGGGCGTTAGTTAGTTTATCGACAGGGGCGTGCTGCGTGCGGATGTAGACTGTATGGAGAGTAGAAACTTTAGAGGGGACGGACGGATAGCTAGGGGATCATACACGCATATACTGAGATTAGGCGAGCCCTGACCACGGAAAGGATGTGATGCGAGCTCTCTGACAGATGTTAATTCTCACATGGACGGACTGCTAGAGGTGATCAGACAATCGTTACAGAGAGCGGACTAACAGAGATGAACAAACGTTAGCTGCTCTCAGCAACAGACAGCGGCAACAGTCAACAGAGGTGGTTTCTCAGACGATGAAACAGGGATGGATTATCATAGCTGGGTAACTATTAACTCTCAAACAGACAAACTGACAGAGGTGAGATCTCAGGCAGCCGTTGTGAGTAACGAGTCAGACCGTCTTCTACCAGATCGCGTCTAACCGAGCCTTCTAGCATCTAACCTAGCCTTTAACTTAGCCTTCTAACATCTAAAGTAGCATCTAACCTAGCCTTTCGATGCCTAACATAACACCAAACCTAGCACGTAGCATAGCCTTCTGAGTTCTGACATCCAACCAAACATCTAGCGTAACATATAACCTAGCCTTCGTTCTAACATCTATCCTAGCCTTCTAACCCGTGCATGATGGGCGTGTCGAAGCCGCGCCGCCGCCACGTGTTGCGATACTCGACCATCCAGTTGAACAGTGCCTTGGCCAGCGGACCGGCCGCCTGCAGTTTACTCTCGATACCCTGTGGGCCGTACAGACAGGGGTAGAAACAGGGTGGAATAAGTGCGAACGGAAGCCCGTTTGTTTCCTCGACGGCATATCATTCACTGATGGTCGATATCACACAATGACGGAATATCGATAAAGAATGCAGTTTGCAGGATGTTTCGAGGAGGTTTACGCTATAGTGCAAAAATGAAAATGACAGGAAAGAACTAGCACCGGTTGAGCTCTATCTTAACTGCTACCATGCTAAAAATATTAAAGCGATACTTTGAGATGTCATTGCTCCACAAAGAAACAGAACCACACGTCATCCACCACCAAGCAATTCAGCACTATTTCCACGTCTGGTACCCACCGCCAGACTCATCCGTAGCCCGAACCAATGAAGTAACGCTATTCCCGTTCCGTTCCCCAGCCCAGTTGCTCCGGCCCCATCAGCTCTACAGTCCCGCACCACGGTTTACCAGTACCACGCGATTCAGTACCTGTTGTTCAGTATCATTACCACAGTTCCCGTACCCCAGCCCACTACCACGAGTCAAGACTCGACTCACATGTACCCCGTCTCGTACCTCGGCCCTCTAGTGCCACAATTCACACAATGCACCCCTGTCCAGTTACCCCTGTCTTACCTGAACCACTCTATCCAGTACCATGGGTACAGCGGCCACCATGGTCGGCTTGAGCACCGAACAGTCTCCGCGGCAGCCGCGCTTCACCTTACTGGAAGTGTCCATCATGGTGAGGGGCGAGCTGTACCCGATCGGCACGCCGAACATGATGCAGCACATCTCTGAGGACAAAGACAAAGGTAGCTTAGTGGAGGACAAAGGAAGCTCAGTGGAGGGTGGCAGTCTCTCGCAGGTCCACGGCAAGGTGCTGGCTGGGTGCCCTAAGGAGGGATGATGTCACGAAAGGGCTTTAATTGATGAGAATAATGTTGATGCTGTTTTTGATGAGGCATAAAATACAATGTCGCCTTTCCATTCCACAGTCGAGACAACGAAAGCCTAAACCTATGTTGCTTAACACGGCTAAGTTGCCATCCAACCAGCACAGGGCTTATAAAGAAATACACATCCATTCGTCCATCCGTCTCTACGTCCATCCGCCTGTCTGTATGTGTCTGCCCGTTCGTCTGTCTTGGTCTGTCTGTGTCCGTTCCGTTCTACTCGTCCGTCCGTCCGTCCGTCCGTCCGTCCGTCCGTCCGTCCGTCCGTCCGTCCGTCCGTCCGTCCGTCCGTCCGTCCGTCCATCCTACCCATCCTACCCACCTCCCATGAGTTCGAGGACGTGTGCCAGCGGCAGGTATCCCAGGTAGATGTCCTCAGCCTGGATCTCTGTGCCCGTAGCGAAGCTGACCATCGTGCAGACCATGTTACCGTGAGTGATGAGCACGCCTTTGGGAACGCCAGTCGAGCCAGAGGTATACCTGTGGGCGGGGTCAGGGGGGGAGAGGTTAGAGGGTGGAGGTTAGGGGGGAAGGGAAGAGAGAGAGAGAGAGAGAGAGAGAGAGAGAGAGAGAGAGAGAGAGAGAGGAGAGAGAGAGAGAGAGAGAGAGAGAGAGAGAGAGAGAGAGAGAGAGAGAGAGAGAGAGAGAGAGAGAGAGAGAGAGAGAGAGAGAGAGAGAGGGAGGGATGGAGGGAGAGAGCAAAACAATGCCTAGGTGAAGTCTGTTAGCATTAATGACCTACCGGAGCAACAATACACAAAAATGACGGAACTTTGCCAAAGTCAAGGGCCATACCAACTGGGCTCTGGCGTACCCAAAATGTCCTTACTAGGACGAGCAGTTTGTAATATGTCGGCCCCTCATAGGTCTCCCCAATTTAACTCAACATTACAGAGCTCACTGAGAAGCTGTGTCTATGGGCCAACCGTTTCCCTATTGCTCTGGTATCTCTGATACCTCCACCACCCCGATCTCAGTGTGGCACCGTGCCGTCACACCTACATGAGAATAGCCACGTCCTGGCTGGTGGGCGGACTAGCGGCCACCGTCGAGTGTTCGCCCATCTGAAGCACGTCTGCAAACGATACGATGCGCAGGTCGTCCCGGAACGAGCCCGTGTCCGTCTTCTCTAGCTGGAACAGAAAGGAAGCGGGGTGAGGGGGTCAGGGTCACGGTGATAGAGAGCAAACGTAAGATACATCTTCCTTTGAGCCAGGGCTGCGGAGTCGATGGATTTACGGCGACTCCGACTCCGACTCCGACTCCGGCTTTCAAAAACCAACTCCGACTCCGACTGCGGGCAGAAATGTCGACTCCGATCGACTCCAACTCCCGACTCCGACTCCGCACACCTGGCAGGGCTGCGGAGTGCGGAGTCGACAGATTTTCGGTGACTCCGACTCCGACTCCGGCAGGGGTTTCCAATATCGACTCCGACTCCGACTCCGGTCACAACTGTCGACTCCGACCGACTCCGACTCCGACTCAGACTCCGCAGCCCTGCTTTGAGCACACCTTACAGGGAGATGCGGTGTCCCTTACAAGGACGGAGGTGGTGGCGTGTTGGCGAGAAAGGCGAGGCGTTTTGATGACGACAAAGCGATTTTGCCTTGCGTAGTGCAATGGCAAAGCGCATATTGATAGTGAAAAATGTGTTGATGGGTTTAAAGCAGAACCCCTGCAGCCGTTGACCTGTACAAATGCGGCGGTGTTCTGGTTTATTCTAAAACTAGTCGCTTTCGTCATTCAACACTGCCGGCATTCCACCACTTGCACCGCATCATGCCAGCCAATCTAAACATATCAGTCAGTATCTTAAACACAGTGCCGCCGACTCTAAGCATTATTTTCTGCCCCGTCGACACCTACGCAGTCAGAGGTCACTAAGTGTTCACTGCCCACTGTCCTCTCCACCCACACAGTCCCGCGTGACCGAGGTCCCGCCGGTGACGCCCGTCCCAGCCGTCAATGGGACTGATGACGACCTTTGTCCAGATCCAATCGGTCGTCAGCGGAATAGTGCGTCATCCACTGTCAGCGCGAATGACGGCGGCGAGCGAGGGTGAACTGAACCTCAACGAAAACACGGCGGCTTGTCAGCACTGCTTCAGCGTGACCCGTGACTCAATAGGTTAGGGTAGATGACTAGTGGGGTTATTTTGATAAAAAGCGTGTGATATAGTACATCTTCCTTTGACCACACCATATTATAGAGAGGTGAGGCATCCGTTACAGAGATCTCAGAGTATCCTATAATTAGCTAGATAAGCCCCCAGTCTGACTGATAATTGGTGGTATAATGTCTCATGTAGGGGGCACCCGACTGGCCATCTAAATCCTACTAGAATAACCGACGTCGGTGGCCAGTCATAGGCTAATCGGATATACACCCGGACCTGAAGGAAGTCCGGGAGACCCGTGTAATGGCCACCCTGGCGGCAGCCTTCTATCACATCCTAATCCGACTGGCTACGTCCCTGTAAGTTACAACTCACATGTATGTTACAGGCTGTAACACACAGGGGGAGACCCCGATCAGCAGCGTACCTGGTCCTCCATGTAGACGACGGTGTTGACGTTCCTGCAGCGTTCCAGGACGGGTCGCATCTTCTTCATCAGCTGGTGGGAGGTGATGACGTGTGTGACCTCAGTCTCGGTGATGCCGTGCACCACGGCGTCCTCCGACAGGGTCGTGTACAGCGTCACCACTGAAATAGGGTACCGCACGTCACCAGTGGGAGCAGGATACCTTACGTTACTTGAGGGTATGGTACAGTACGTCACCACTGAAACAGGGTGTGGTGCGTCACCACTGGGAACATGGTGCTGTACGTTACTAGTGGCCAGTGAGGTAAGGTACAGTGCATTACCACTTAATTAAACAGGGTACTGCAGGTCACAGGTGGGGTAAGGTAGTGGGTACGGTGCTTCACCACTACTACTGAAACAGGGCACAGTACAGTACGTCAACAGCGGGGCAAGGCACAGTGCCTCACCACTGAAACATAATGTGATGTGTCACCGTCGATACATGACATGATTTGTCACTACTGAGGGGAAGTACGAGCATATAACTTTGTCACTGAGACACAGGGTGTTGGTGACCACTGGTACTGGGGCAAGGTAGAACATGTCACCATGAAAATAAATGTAAATGAAGTGCAATACAGTGATTCACCAATCAAACACAGGCACCGCCTGGAATAGGCCGGCAGATTAGAAATAAGACGGAAGCCAGGTTATCTGTGCAACCAAACTGAAGCTTGCCTATAAATCTTATGACGTTTGCATGCCTTCATTACGCTTTATCGCCATTATAAATCAACGAAAAACGGGATGACTAACGACCATGCATCAAGGATTGACGATCATTCGAAGCCGCACAAACGCGTTTTATCAGCAAAACATTTCGGGGAACTCAAGTGATAGACGGATTCATTTATGGGTACCGCAAACCAAATATAGCCGTGAGCTAAGTACTAATCAAGGTTGATAGCGGCTACTGCACTGTGATTTTGATGCGAGGAAAGCTATAGATAGTGACTCCCAAGAACAGATAACAGGCATGCTTAATCATATACATAGTCATAGTGAATCAATCCAAACGAAAATACACCTACGCCTGTTATATCGCAAATCATTACCAGATCGCAAGAGTTTGTAGATGAACTCACTGTTATTCATGCTACGTAACCCATGTGACGTCAACACTAAACAATCGGGTGTCAGTTGCACATGTGAGGACGTCTTCTTATCGAAATCATCGGACGTCTCAAAACATACTCTTGACCATGGTAAAACCAAAAGCAAATACAGCGTCATTGACATGGCTCCGTGAGACAGCAAGGTCAGCCCCAGTGCGGTGACCGCAGCAGCTGGCGGTTTCACGAACCAAAGAGGAGATCGCGTCAGAGTTCTGGACCGTCTACGGGCACGGCGGTGGCCCTACACGAGACGCATGGTTGGTAATCGGTAACAGGATGTTAGACGCGGAGCGGCGTTCAACCACAAGTGGAGTGTGAACCACATACACGGTTCGCTAAGATGAGACAACATTGGAGCCGACACTCTGTAAAAGCGAAGTAATAACCAGACTCACCAGTGCGTTTAATGAAGGAGGGTGATTAAAAATGCGCATCTGACGCCTGTGTAATGCTCTGACACTCTCAGTACTGCTGGGCTGGTCCATTACTTTGGAATGAACGGTGCTCAACGCCATCAAATATACCAGTGCTCTCCACAAATTAGATTTAAACGGCATTCCATTCCTAACGATACTACAAACGCCGCTGCAAGTTGTAACACAACACCGTACCGCACAACTCTTCCAATTTGGCCGCCGGCCAGCCTCCCTCCCTCTCCCCTCCCCACCCCTCCACACACCCTCCCATCCTGTCTCACCTGTGATATTATGCAGGAAGGCGGCCAGTGCCGAGACGAGCCACTCAGCACGCGTCTCGGCGAACACTACCACCCGATCGCCGGGGGACAGGCCCAGTTCGCGCAGACCGCGGCCGAACCAGGCGGCTCGATCGCCAAAGTCCGTGTAGCTCACCCATCGGTACTCGCCCAGATCGTACTGAGGACGGTGGAGAGGACGAGGTCAGTTATTCGGCGGTAGAATATGGTTATGAGTTGGGATAATTCTCACTATTCTTTCCACCGAGGGATGTCAGTTATCTGCACTAAGACTGTATATGAATACGTGAGCACATGAGTAATTCGTCTAATTCAACAGAGGCATCCAGAATTGAAATGCTGAGCACATGTCAACATGACATGAGCACATGATTACCTTTCCAGAATGAGCTACAAAGGAAATATCATCAAAACTTTCACTAAGAACAAAATAAAGACATGCACCCACGCCACTTTTAAAACGCACCAGTCGCGTCAGCTCGCCATCCGATTCTATTCAGGTCGACAACCGGTGAGTTTTTGCGCCGGTGACATTCTCTGGATACTCATTGGTTCAGCGGTGTCAGGCTGGTGCGAGGACAGGAGGTGGATCCGTTGTAAAATGAGGCTGCGGACGGAATATGAAAACGAATTATGGCGTGGTGGTAGGTTAGGGAAGGACGGGACATGGCAGGAGAGAGCAGAACGTGATGGAAACGCGGATAAGAACTCAGGTAGGGGGAGGACAGGTCGGAACCGGTAAGGGCAGGTCAGAACATCGGAACAAGCATATGTCATGTGGAAATATATGGGTCCGGATCCCCTCCCGGTATGATGAAGGTGCAATGTGCATGACTCATAATAAGACAATTATTACATACCCCTTTAGTCCTACGCGCAGTGTGACGAAATATGAGCAAAAAAAAAACTTTGTTGAAAGTTATCGGGAAAAGTTTCTGACATGTCCTCTCGCTTGAACAAATAACTTTAAAGTGAAGGCTAGGCCAAAGTTGATTCTACCCACGCACCGCTCTCAACTGCGATGTTTCCTGGGCAAAAGATTCCGCCTACATTCTGTCGCGGCATCAGAACTTCACACATATCTCCCTTCATTATTCCCGGAAACGAACAGCCTACAACGTCCAAGGCAGGCTTGTACAATAATTCATCACACCATTAAAGGACGTCGCTTGTCGCGTCACGCAGGCTCAAGTGGCGGCGTTTTCAATGTCATGCAGAATTGTATAGCCGTTATCAAGCCATGTGTGTTCAGGTAAAGAGGCCACGTGTGTTTAGTGAGCACCTCTCGTGATACAATGCGCTCCGATAAGGCTTTCCGCGCGTTTATCGCCGAGCTGATACATCTCGACTGACCAGGGCACGATATGGAGACGTGACCTGATGCGTCAGGAGAGGACGTGGGTAGTCAAGGACGAGCTGAGGGGAGGGGCGCTCCGAATATGGAGATAACGTACAATCAGCGATGGACAGAGATTGTTCGTGGAGCAGTTATTAGTGAGTAGACTATACCTATACAGAGTTATCAAAAAAAATTGGAACCCCTAACTTAAAATGTCTGTAAGTCAGAAAATTGTCACTTTATTGGCAAATTGCAAACACCATTAGAAAGAGCGTTCAATTCTCTATAACACCAAGTTGATTGAACTTAATTATTATTATAAATATTGCCCTAGACATATGCCTAAAAAATTTGTGTCACGAAACTCAGTGAAAAGGTTTTGAACATTATGCGCAAATCAGTGATTGACGGTTTGCTGTTCTGACCATGTCGCTTGTTGGAGGTCCATGAATAAAAATAGCTCATTCACGTGCTATTGTCAGGAAAGGAAAGGCTGACGGCCTGCTGGGACCAGTTGTCCCAGAGACTGCTGGTCCGCGCCGTCGGAGCTGTCCCCAAGCAACTGCAGGCCTGCGTGACGGCCCACGGAGCTCGCGTTGAGCACATGCTGGGATGAACAGCGGAAGCTAGGACGCGTGTATCTGTTCTACTGTGTGCTTCTGTGTAAACTTTTATGAAATAAAATTGAATTTGGATGTGGCGTTATTCGCAAAAAGACAACAGATAGAGTGCTAACGGATTTCAGCGCATTGTTAGCATTTGGTGATTTCGTTTCACTCAGTTTTCTGACGCTCATTCCAAAAGCTAATAGTGTGCCAATGCTTCAAAACATACAGGCACCAATTTGACGTGTTTTATAGAGGATTTAATACTCTTTCTAATGGTGTTCGCAATTTTTTGTCAATAAAGTGAATATTTTCGGACTTATAGACATTTTAAGTTAGGGGTTCCAATTTTTTTGGATCACCCTGTATATAGTCAGAAGTCAGTAGTCAGCAGTCAGAACTTGGCGCTGCTGACAGTCAGTGAGATATGCTCCCTATCAGCGCTAGCGACGCACAGATTATATATATATATAGGTACCCAGAACCACCACTTCACATGCAAGAGGGAACCTTGAGCTCCGATTCACAGTTAGACAAAAAAAGGCCACTGCGCTTGGAGAGCATGCGACAAACATGATCTCTGATAAGAGAAACCTATCGTGATTCTGTGACAAAACAGCGTTTCTTAGAGCTACAACCGTTACATGGATGTGTTTCACACACACACTAAAGGGGAGAACTAATAACTATTAATCAATTAAATCAAGAGCCAAACACATTATCTGGTTAGCACAAAGATGTATGCGAGCTCCGGCAAAATACCGAAGCTCATAATCTTCGGGGGTATCGAATCACCGATACCCCCGAACCCGATTACGATACGCTGACGAAGCTTTGTAATACAATTCGAAAGCTCCGACCCGAACGATTTCTTGTGGAGTTAAGTCCTCATTCAATTATTAAAATACCGAAGTTTAGCGATAATTTGTCTCTCGTCTAACACCATCACGGCCCGGCCAAGCACACGCACCTTTTTGAATATCTTCCCATTGGGCTGTTTCTCGTCTTCTTCGGCCAGCACCTCCCGCACCCCGAAACAGGGCTTGTCGCCGTGCTGAGCGATGGCATGACGCACAACCTGAGGGGGGCAGGGGTCAAGGGGTCAGCCAGAGAAGATCAGAGGGTCACGGGGCCAGTGGGAGAGGGCCAGGGGTCGGTGTCTTGGAAACACCACTGAAAACATACCCGTGGGCAGACTAGATGGTCATTCAGCCCGGGTAGGAGAAGGAAGATGATGCGCGCAGTTATCGAAGCTGCCGTATAGGCTGAATCGTGTGTTGATGTGTCCAGCCAATGAGACTGATTGACAGAAATGATGATAGCCAGTGCATGTGACCATAAACTGGAACCTTCGCGTGGGTGGGGAGTAAATGGGTGCGCAGAGGTCAAAAGACGGCCGAGAGCAGCCTTGTGAGTGGTCGGGAGAGCAGTCTTGTGTGTGTGGGACGCAGATAGTGCCCCAGAAGCACAGACTGCAGTGTGTGTGGGTTGATGCACTCGCTCAGAATCACCAGCTACGCAGAATGTTTGGAAATAGGGAATAGTGCGAATGTCTGCGTTTCGCGATAATGTCAACGGTGTACTGCGCCACAGAACTCGCAAAAAAAGACTGACGAGTATTCAGAGGGCGGACTCACATTACAGGCCTGGAAGACGCACGAACCGGACCTAACCTTCAGTTCTGTTACCGGTAATACAGCACAAATAAGGCTCAGTGCGTTAACCCTTGTGCATATTTACACCAGCCTCTGAATATCCCAACACTTTTAAATAAGAACTTGAGAAAAGAAAAAAACTCAAAGCACTGCTGATTTTCTTTCCGTGAAAGCGCTTCCTGCCTCAACTGGTAGGAATACCCAAGCAATAAAAATCGCTATTTCCCCCGCTGAGGCCAGTGTCAGGACAAACACGCCCATTAGTGACAGTCCGTGCCAGGCGCTGGGGTCCTCATACACTATGCAGGGCGTTACACCTGCCCCTGCGGCGACCGCAGATCGTCCTACCGACAGGGCGACCGACAGCTGACCAGTCGATGGGACAATAAATCGTTACACTGCGCCATCACAGTGCGTGTGCGGAGTGTGCGAGAGGTGGTTACATTGCACTGGGGATACCGTAGGCCGGAGTATTGCTGGTTTTGAATTTAGTAAGGGCAGTGAGAAGCAACATTTATGTCGAACATGGTAAAGCTGGAGCAAAATTTGTATTAAAAAGATAAGGGCGTAACTTATTAATGAAACATGTCGCATATAAAAGCTCGGGCGTTTTGTACATATATAATGCCGCAGTAATATGCGTATTGGGTACATAAGCCTTAGCTTACCTGCAGGGCATAAAGCAAACACGAAAGTGACAACATCGCTTACAAAGGCATCCAATGTGAAATGTCCATGCCATATTGCATCAACCAAGCATTGTTAAATGTTACAAAGCAGCAGCGGGCCCTATTGTAGAAACATCTGTGAACGAAAAGTTTGCAGCAATAACAGCTTCAGCCTAGCAGTAGTTAGCAGTGACGACGAGCAAAACAAGCAGTGACGACTGACGGGAGCAAAAGGCGGCGACGGCAACAGAATGAGTAATTGAGGTGCAATTACATCAGTGACCGACAGGAGTGAAGACAGCAGTGGAGGCAGTTTCGCAGTGGCAAACAGTGAGAGCAGTGTCAGTCAGTGACAAATAGAACCAGAAGTGACAACATTAACAGTTAAAGGACATCAGCAGCTCTCACCTTCTCCACGGTATCGAGGCCGAGCCTTTTGACGGCCAGCTGCAGCTCATTGGGCGGGTCGAAACGGCGGTAACAGCACGGAATGTCCGGCACCTGACGGGCCTGTCGGAGCGAGAGGACAGTCGTCAGGTCAGTCAGGGTCAGACTCAGGTCAGGGCGGGTCACAGAGAGGCCAGTGGTCAGGTCAGCTTACCGTAATCCACTGAACTGATCGACAAAGGTTACTCGAGCATGGATTGAAACAGACCAGAGGAAAAAAACGCGTAGAAAGTAGCTTGGTGTGTATGAGGCCAGACGACAAAAAGACTGGGACAGATCACATAGGGATGTGAATATGAACCTCATGTGTAAAGCCTAAACAAAACACACAAAGAATAGTTCGCAAAAAGGTGCTACGATGAAAATGTCACATTTCTTATACAGGCAAAACAACAGGTCTAAACATTATTTCAATTAGTGCAAACAATGTGCTAAAGCTCATTACTTGCTCATTACTTCTCAAGTGTCGGGCCCATGTATATCTCGATGGTCGCTGTACTGTTTCTCCCTATCGAGTATCGGCCAGGTATATCTGGCTGTGGTGTATTTCTCTCCAGTGTCGGGCCCAGGCATATAAAGCTATAGTGTATTCCTCCCAAGTACCAGCCAGACGTATCTCGCCACTCCATGTACCGTGTCGTTTCTCCGGCGGCGGCCGCCACTAATCGACGTGTGCGTGGTCAGTCCACACGCCGGCTTGTCGCAGCGCTGTGCAAACACGGGCTATCGGAGCGGCGGGCGGCCCTTCGGACAGATAACGGTTCAGCTCTGCGCGGCAGGCATTGGTGCCGACCGGGGATGACTGGCACGGGTGGGTCACGCAGTCTCAGAGCTGGGAGTACTCCACACGGCAGTGACTCGGCCCGGAACCGTGGGGTCACGGAGGAGCTTCGCTCAGGGAATACTCCACAATCCACATAACACTGATTCAGCCCGCAGCCAGAGGGTCACGATGGTGCTCCGCCAGAGATGGCGTTATATCTTGAGAAATGAGAACATTTAACTACAGTGGCTCTGCTGGGAATAGAAAGATCACCGAGGTATTTCCTGTTCACGCTCAGGCTATGGAGTCCGCAAATACATAGAGATTAGCTCCGGTCGATGCGGCTTTTGGAAAGGCTGAGGCGTTGCCCGCCGCTTGGGCCGGTTTTCGATTAGGACAGTCTGGAATATAGTCTCATGTTTATACGACTTAGACGAATGTGGGCAGCGCTATAGACTTTGGAACCGAGGAGTCGTACATATGGGCCAGCTACTAGACTTGTTGACAATAAAAAGTGAGCTAGATGGTAAAAACAGCCTACCAGACATCTGATGCTATCTCAGATAGCTGACCGATCCGGTAGTGGCCAGTCATGACTAGCAGAAACCGGTTATAGCCGATCAGCCCGAGGGCAAAGGCCAGCCCCAGGTCAGACTACACTGGTTCTTTTCAGAGGTGGCGTTTTTTTTTTTCGAGCAGACATTTACAGAGGCCATCAACGACCACAACTACTTACGAGTATGTCGTTCAGATTCAGCAGTTGACCAGATATGAATCACATTTCGTTAATAAAAATCCAGACTGAATATACTGATTTGTAGGCATTTCCTATGGACCCTGTTAAAATAAAAACATGCCATGAACTTATATCGATTTTGTTGTTGGACGCTGGTGTCCGTGCTCAATCACTTGAACAACAGTTCTCCGTCACAATTACTTCGAGATGTCCATGCCCCCAGCCTTCTAACCACAAAAAGCGGGCCCGTTTAATAACATCCACTGCATATGACACAATGGCATGTAACCCACATAATGTTGCTACGCCACGGATGCACTACTGACGCGACAGTCTGCAATGTTGATATGTAATGGAATCCCACCAGTCTGCAATGTTGATATGTAATGAAATGTAAATAGAGGGCGTGTGCGGGGCGCCCCGGGTGGACGTATCAACACGTCGGCTTCTGATATAAACGAAGCATCTGGACGAGATCTGCAGTACCGAGATCGGTCGCTAAGGATCACCCGACGTGAAGGCATGTATGAGAAATATGCCTCTCGCCCGCTTCAGAAATTTCGTCATCGTGTTACCAGCAGTCATCTGGTTAGGGTCAGGACTCAGGGTATTGCTCTGTTGCTATACGGTGTCGTAAGAAAAGTCAGTCGAAAGTTTGACCCCTCCCGATACACTGAACCAGACGGCAAATTCTCAATAACAGGCAATGTATTCGTCGCCGCCAAAAGTCCTAAACCCATTCTCCAGCGGCCATTCACCCGCCCGATGCCCTAATCCCACCACGCTCCCGATTTCTTCCCCCTTCCTCCCATCCATCGGTCCCACCATCCCACCACTCCGTGCAGGAGTTTCCCTGCCCTTACCACACCACCGCGTCGGTTCCCACATAATAACCGCCGCGTCGGTCCAGCCGCGGCGCGGGACGGACCGTCGGACTTATGACAGGATGGCACCACCCCATCCCCTGCGGGCGATTATCACATCCTGTCCCGGCCCGCGGCACTGCAAGCAGGATGCCGTTGACAATTGGAGGACGCAGTGATAGGAGAGTGCAGACAACGCCAGGGACAGAGCCGTTAGCGTGCTGGTGGGAGAGGCGGATGTAAGAGTCAAATGTCTCGAGAAAACAAGCGCTCGCAAGAGACAAAAGACTAATGACCAGCCTTGTTAAACTTGCGTAATGTAACATTTTAAATTGAAGAATCGACCACTAGGGGATTTCAATGGCTGCGTATCATTCCTTACAAGTTGATGTTAACTTACGTATCATCAGCCATATTTCGAGATAAGCATTCCCAGGCCAGATGGTTCCATTCGGATATCCATCGGATATCCATACGGATATCCGATCCATCCATATACAGCCGTCATGCTTCGCGCACCGAATCCATTCATGAGAAGGTAAGGTACCGCCCCGTCGAACCATGACGGACAGAGTGGGGCGGGGAGTGTGTGTGTGTGTGTGGGAGGGGGAGGAGCAGTGGGCACTCACCCGTATCCGTTTCGCTCGGCGCACCTGGCGCCACGGCCACTGGACAAGGCTGTACAGCGGTAGAGTGATCACATCGTAGATGAAGACGAGACCCGAAACGAGCCATACCACGGCAGATACCATAGTCTCGCCCATGGCGGATGGTCCTGGCGGGGAGAAGGGGGGGGGGGGAGGAGGGTCAGTGTTGGACTCATTGGTAGAGTGGTGAGTGGCAGGCACCACGGCCGATACCATAGCCATGGCGAACAGTCCTGGAGCGCGTGGGGAGAGGAGAGAGAGGTCAGTACACTGACCCAGTGCAGCAGTGTTGAGTTACATATTTAAGGCTGGCGGAAATTGCATGCCTGAGAAAGCTAGAGTTGTCTGTGTTTTCTGCTATAACCATAAGCATTGATAATGAAGTTCTCAAACACGCACATTTTGTCAAAATATGGAGTTCAATGCTTATATGTATAATAAAATTGCTTTTAAATGCATGAAGATCCTGTTCAACTTTTGGCAAATGGTGTGATTTGCAGTGCAAATAATTCATCGTTTAGAAACTGCGAACGCAGAAAGTTCACTCCGCATTTCCTCATGTTCATTATTCAACCAGTGCAAGTGTCGAGGTGAGAAAACTTTCCATTCGAGAATAATATGAGGATCGGTATGTAAAAATAAAGGCCCGATGGAACGGAAAAAAGTGTCGTCGTAGGACGCAGAATGGCGATTGGTGATGCCACTGAAATCACTATTCCTTGCCTGGCTATCGAGTCGCAAGGACGCGACTGCCAATGAATAGTTTAGATCTTAAATCATGCGTCTGTTCAACTTTCACATGGCAATAATATCGTAACTATAAAATAAAATGAGCATGTCTATTGCCTAAATCTTCCCAAACCGCATTAAATCGATGATCAAGCATTGTCTATCAAAAAGCAAACAGCCACACCTGTTTCTTATGTAACAGAACCTGCAACAATGCACGACGGGCGCTGCTGCGCGTTACATAACGGCCTACCTCAGTAATTTGGTAGCCGAGCCTATGGGGACGCCAGGATCGATTATGCTCACCGGCTTCACAGAACACTACGGCACAATCCCAGGTCAAGGGAAAAGACCAATATCAAGAGCTTTTGACTCTAGACTGCTCTATGTTCAGCCCAGAAAACTTTGCTAGAATTTGAGACGGCGAGGTTCACCCATTAAACCCTTGCCCAAACAATTCAGTGCCTTAGAAACAACAACAACAAATACAATTCAATACCGGCCACCTGAACAGCGAGCGCTTAGCATACCCCGCGCCCCACTTCCTACCTTGAATGCCGATGCCCTGAACACGCGTGCCAGTGACAGCGGGGAGCGTGCGGAGTCGACCGCGGCGGAACAGTACCTGGCGGCGGGCCACCCCGGGCTAGACTGGCCGGCACCCGCCCCCGCCCGCCCTACCGCCGTCGCCGCCCCCGCCCCGCTACTCCACGGCAGCGGCGGCCGCCGTGACGGCGATGAGAGCATACACGCACCGCGAGGGTGCGGGGTGTGAGTACCACCGAGTGAGAATTAAAAATAGGCCAGGGGTAGTCAGGGATAACTGACAAAGATTGAAGGTACCTAGAACAGACCTCTATGTTCAGTTCACCCTCATCACACTGCGTGGAATGTATTCGTTTTTCGACAAAACCGATAATAACTCAAAGACTATGATATTGGTCACTCGGAAATTCTAGCATAATACGCGAGAGGCTTCAAATCTTACATTGGACTCTTCACAGTATACATTTTCCACTCAGTTTGGCAACGTTACAAAAAAGTTTATAGTTGCCGCCCTCCCCCTCCCCCCGCTCCCAAACAAACTTTTGCCTTTTGCTGCCATACTTGGCGTAATTTATTAAATGATGGACCCAATCGAAAGAATGGAGTAGGATCTCTGTGGTATGAATTCCTATCGGCTGATAACATAGCATAGCCCTCGAGCTATTATCGGCTTTGTCAAAAAAAAAAAAAAAAATACCTACCTCGCAGTGGAATGAGGGTTTAGCGGTGAGCTCACAATGAACATGACCAAGCACAATGAACAAGTATAGCTTTGCAATCCCCCGACTAGGTACCAGAATCTTTTCAACAGAGATAGTATGGTGGCTATCGGTTCACAAGACTACAGGGCTCACGGGCAGCTTCGCATGTTCTCTGAATCGCGAAAAGATAATTCAAATAAAAACTAACGCACTTTATGCCGGCAATTCAATCTTCGATTTATTAATTCATCGCAGAATGCATGAAGATAAAAGTGACATTTACCTAAACGTTGATCTATGCACTCTAGACCAGATAGCTGCCGCTGATTTTCCGTCACGACAAATTTCCGGGCGGCAACCGGAGTTCCCGGTAAACCAAAAGGTCCCTTGGCAGATGGTGCAAATTGCAAAACGCCTCAATCGCACAGTGGGCACGGATTTGAACTTTTTTACTTGGTTAGCTATTGGGCGTGGGGACTTTTTTTTTAAATAACTTCCAAGTTCAAATTCATAAATGATCACCATACACCATTTTCAAAAGGCTGCAGTCCCCTATAAGTCGCCGAGCACCTACATGCGTTTTATACGCCGATCCCATATTTCACGCCAACAGCAATTAGCATTCTAAATTTCTACGAAGCTCGTTCGTCCTGCTATGTAGTCAGCTGTCGGACTTTACACCAGCCCTCTGTTTTGACTCACCCCATCGCGTCCTCTATAACTCCCGACCAGCGCCGTCTAGTGGCACAAACCATAGGCAGTACGGCATCCCACACGGCATGACACGCCCAGGCTCCCTTCCAGTCAGTCGCCGCCATCTAGGTTACCGACGGTCCTCATTAACCCGCGCCCCACTGGGGGGGGCTATTTATAGCCCCCCCTCCCGTTTTTCTGCAATAACTTCCAAACCGCTTGACGAATCGACGCCAAACTTTCAGTACCTTTGGCTGCATCAATTTGATACCTTGTGTCAAAATTTGAACTTCGTAGCTACTACAGGTCGGCCGGAAATGACGTCAGAGTGACGTCATGTTCGTCCGATTTCGACGCAAAACATTGAACCACGGCAATCGCTCCCAAGAGCTCAGTTTTTAAGCTAGATCCAATTTCTTTGCATGAAAGGACTCAGAATTGACCGCGCTATCAAACTGCTATCTCGGATTTTCAAAATTTTGAAAATTTCGAAAATTTTATATAATAATATTCAAAATTTATATTTTTATATTTTTTTCAAAAAGTTCTTGACTTTTCGAAAAAACCGGAATATATGTGACAGAACGCATAATTATGACTAACTCTAGCAAGTTTTAGCTAAATATCTTCAAAAATGGCCAAGTTATACGCATTATTGCAAAAAATTCACAATTATTAATTTTTCAAATCAATTTTTCAGTACGTATTTGGCATCGTAGACCAATATAAATGGCACCATCGTGTTCCTGAGCTCAAACTGCATCCAATAGACACCTTTTTTGTTGAAAAATTTCAACTTCAAAATTTGACCTTTTTTGACCTGAAAGTGACCTGACCTAAGCTAATTTCGACTCAAAATGACCTTGAATGACACAGACGACATCAAATTCGAAATCTATGGCCTAAATGGACCATAAGACATGTGTCACGTGACCGACGCATGATATAATATTTTCGTGACCTGTGATGACCTGACCCTGACCTGAAAATCAAAGTACAAGTTTGGTACCCTCAAGGTATCTAGAGCATCTGTTCACGAGTGTGGAAACCAAAAATGAGCCTGATCTGACTTGTAAGACGGCGGCCAGAGCCCAAAATGTGAACAAGCCAAAGTGCTAATAATTTTTACTTTGACCTGACCTGTGACGTCATCGGTGACCTCGAGGTCAATGAAATTAGGTTTCGCTCGACAGTTTTTCCGGGGCTATCAGACGCCGTTTGAATTTTGACGATCGGCCCAGTAGTTTCGGAGTTAGGAGGGGGGGCTATGAATAGCCCCCCCCCCCCCAGTAGGGCGTGTTATACACAGACCCCAGTGGGGCGCGGGTTAAGACGGTCTTGTAGAATGTAGAACGCTTTGGCATGTGTCTGGTCTTGTCAACACCAGACAAAGAACAAAATACTGACAAGTGTGACCCCCAAGGGGACAAAAACTCGACGCCATGTGTTGAGTAAAATTGAACAGCAGCACAAACAAGCGAAACTGGTGAGAGGTTTTGATACTTACTCAACTACTCACTCAACTCTCATCAGTTTCACTGATATATCTGTGTCGATGTTCAGTTTTACTCAACAAATGAATTGGGTTTGATTCCCCATCAGGGGTCACACTGGTAGATGGAAGTCATTTTTGAGACTAACTTATTAAAGTGAGAATATGGTACACAGTTGTTACAGGGAAAGGGCAAAGGGGTTACATGACCTTGGACAGAGGAAGCCACAGCAAGCTTGTAGTCAGTGGTAGGTACTGCTATCCAAGGGTGTAACTTTTGCTTTTGAGATGGGGGTGCACTTGGTGATGGGGGCGACCTTCAATGAGGATAGGGGCGCTTCCAAGGTGCATAGATGGCGCATACATTATACATTAGCGTCGCCACGGGGGACAAGCGGGGCAGCTTCCCCCCCCCCAACCCCCGACCGGGCTCCCCCTTAGATCGATGCAGATCAGATGAGATTTTGGGGTCGGCAAAAAATGGGGGTAGTTTTCATGAATGGCTGTAAAGTCAGAATCGGTTGGAGTCGAGAGTCCCAACCAGAGTCGGAGTGAGAGTCGCCAACATTTTCAGGACTTCGACTCCAGGCTCGAACGTATCATAACTTTGATTCAATCCATGTCTTGGCTGGTGTTAGCTGAATTTTACACTCGGTTTTCAACACTGTTGTGGAGCTGGGAGCAGCCCCCTCACCTCCTCTCGGGAGCAGCGCTCCGTCCACGCGCAGAGACCGGGTCCGTCTAGCACCTACGCTGACACGAAATTTTAGTGTCAAGACCACTAGCGTCGCCACGGGGGGGAGGCAAGCGGGGCAGCTTGCCCCCCCCCCCCCAACCTTCAACCGGGCACCCCCTGAGATCGATGCAGATCCGATGAGATTTTGGGGTCGGCAAGAAGTGGGGGTAGTTTTGAAGAATGGCTGTGAAGTCAAAATCAGTTGGAGTCGCGAGTCCCAGCCACAGTCGG